ATTACCTACTACCTGACACACAAAAAGTTCTCTAATAACTAGCTAACAGCAATATAAAGCTTGAATTGGAGCACTCTTAAACTATGCCAAAAACTCATGACAAACTATGTATATATTTGAATGTTCCAAATTAGTATCACAGAAAATATTACCTAAAGTTCTCATCTACTTGTAATGTTTCTAATAAACCCTTAAGTTCTATTTTATTTAACTTCTGATATATAAAAGGAAAAATAAAACTGAGGTTTCAGATATAGTCTACTTATTCAGATAAAACCTATAGGTCTGCTAGGAAAGAGAAATGTCAAAAATAACTCTGAATGCTTACTCTGTAATATTTCAGTAGATAACAACTAAGAATCACATGGAGACGTGACAATAGTTAAGTTCCCTTGACATGTTTAGGTATAGATAGAAAAGTCGCAGTTTTCAGATATTCGAGGCATGATTTCATACCATAGACTGAAAAATATAGTTCCTTGTAATGATAGATTAGGCTATCATAGTCTATCTTGCTCAACCAGAAGGTTACTTAAAGACCACAGGAAAAATATGCCAGTTATTTCATGCACCTGTCCTGGCTTAGTCCCATCAAGGATTCTGGGACCTCATAATTTTTTTAAGATGGTATCTCTCCTATCACCTTGGAACAACTAGTTAGTTCCATTTGTGAAACTACAGTACTTAGCTATACTGATAAAAAAAAATGGGGGGGTGAAGTAATTATTGAATCATTATACAATTTTGTTCTATAATTTTTATACAGGATCCCTTGAATATATGCGTTTGGATTGTAAGCAAGTTCTGATACATAACAGTACTCAAAAGGATTCAGACGCAATTATCATATAATCTTAGTGTCAGGACCTGTACTATGTTCTGCCTGTATCCTTTACTGGCAAGTAATTAATTTCCTACTGAAGCATATAGATCACTGTGTTTTTAAATATTTCAAATATTTCAAATCATCTGTCATACTCTCCTCAAGTTTTCAATTAGCCAAACTAAATTTTCATATTTCCTTTAACTATTCATCGTACAAGATTCCCAGAACTGTATACCATCTTGATCATCTTCTGGTAACTGTGCAGCCATTTGATAATATTTCTTTTAAAATATCTAGCTGGAAATTGAACAAATACTTTTCTCTGATCTGATTAACATAGATCGTATTGGGATGATTATTACCTCTCTTGATCCAAAGACAAAGTGCTTTTAATGCATCTTAAGACCAGTTATTTTACTATATTCAAATGTATATATTTACATGGCATATTTAACTCAGCATATTTTTCTGTGGAGCAGTTCTTGGAAGGCTAGTGCCTTCACTCTTGGGTTCAGCTATACATTGCTATAGGAACCTCGTGATGTATTTAAATATTGAACCAAGAAAATTATGCTGTGTATGTATAAGAACATCATCTTTGTTTTTCACACTTAGGAATACAAAGAAATATCGAGACTCACTTTTCTAATTAAAAAAATATATATAAGTAAACTGATTAAAAGGAAGTTACTTTAACTTGCAGGAAAAATAATATATCACCTACTATATTTGGAAGACGTAGAGCGCTTCCGTGATAGATTAGGTTTAAAATTAACCCAGGATTTTAAAATATTCAAAATCTCAATTTCTTTACATTCTAAAAGCATAATTCTGCCTGAATATTTTGCATATTTCTGCCAGAACTTTTCATATAGTGAGATCTTCTTACTCATAGTTTATGCTTATTACAAAACATAGGAAACAAGAAATGAAGACCAAAGAGCTTTTTCTATTCATTTTTCCAAATTACATGTTAAAAAAAATAGTAAGACAGTAGAAAATAAAAAATAATGATAAGATTTTAAGCTTCATTCCATAAAACAAGCTGAAAAAAAATGCAGTATGATGAAAAATATGTGGCTTACACAACATTACACAAGTTGTACATTTTTTCATATGGTCTCCAAAACAGAAAATAAAGTCCCCAGCCATTTACTTCACTTGAATTATTTCCCTGTAAAGTCATTTCAAACTGTAGGATATATTTTTTGAGCTTTTAACCATGATCCCTTCTATTTTTTTCCATAATCTCCTCTTTTCCATGTAAATCCTCACTCATTCCACCAGTTTCTCTTGTTTTTTAAGTGCATAGAATGTTAGCAAGTAGCAAAGCTCACAGGATGGATTTTGGTTATTAAATTTAAAACTAATCTAAAGCAGCTATTGTAATTAGTAGTCAATAAAATACTTTCAACCAAATAAAATTAATCTAGGTAGTGTTCTATATAAAAAACATTGCCTAAGGCTACCTTTCATGATAAAAATGCTACAATCTCCATGTCAGTACTGATTTTAATGCCAAGATTTGTATTAGAGAAAGCATTATTCACATAAGACAAGTTAAGATTGAATTAAATGACAATGAATAATTTGCTTATGGGTTAAAGCTGAATTTAAAAAAATCCATATAACTAAATATGTGGGAAAGATAGAAGGAAATCTCAGTAATTGGGGCAAAGGTTTTTCTCTAATTAGCTGCAATATATCATTATATTCTATCATATTAGCAACTGAAAAAAATAAAGCTCCCTTAGAACGAGAGAAGCATCAGAACAAAGACATATGGCTTCATACATTATATTTCAATTTTTTTCAGGGTATATACCCATAGTCAAATATGGTAACAACCACCATTATTAAAGTATTTGAAATAATCAACAAAATGTAAGATAAAGATAGCAAAGCAAGTATTTGGCTTATTAGGGTACAGAAAGTCTAATAGAGGTCTCTAACATCAAATGCGGGATAATTGTTAAAATTGAGAAGCTGTTTACTAAAGTTACATCATCAAGTACATCCACATTACTAAGAATGTGACTATAACTACAGAATTTATTTCAATATTGTCATCAGTCTTTCATTTTCTTTTTTCTACCCTTGTGGAAGGCCTAACAGGCACATAAGTCGTCTGCTCTGGTTATTAGGTTTACTACTTCTTGTTCAATATAGGATATGGTGTGTAATCTATGAACACATTTTTAAATTCAGCCTCACTGACTAGGCAATTCGTAGGAATCTCCTATACCTCCTTCCCAGACTGAAACTTTGGCATATGTCTCTTTATTTGCAGTACTGTTACTATAACTTCTTATGCATCTGGGTGGAGATTTTATTATTAGTCTGGGAAAAATCAATACAAGCATGAGGAATTTGCTGCTACTTTAAATTAAACTTCAGATATGTTTTATATGTGCACAACAAAACTGTCATATTTGCCACAGTTATCTAAATCTGCTTCTCCTATTAGCCAAAAACTACTTAAAGGATTCTCCATTCAGTTAGGAAGCACATCCATGACTTTTTTTATACAAAAGCTAATTCATTTTAATATTTTTACTTATTTCTTTAAAAATATTTTCATTTAAATTAAATTTTTTTCACTTTTAATATGAGCCTCTCCATCTTTTTTTTTTCTATTATTCCATTCTCCATCAGTACTCTGATAATCAGAAGTACAGTTCTGTGACCACGAATGACAACAAGTAAATAAAAAAAAAAAAAGTGATAAATAATAGGAACCATAAATCCTTCCCAGCTGCATGGCATGTGCACTTATTGATACACGCCATGCCAGTGTATTATACCCTAACTATATCATGAAGCAGGCAGTTGAATAGGTCCTCAAGGGGTAGCATATGCTATGGGTTGGGCTCTTTTCTAACGTAAAAGGCCATTATTCCATCATTTTACTCGTGTTTTCTGTCAGCTACCACGTGACCCCCATTGCATTTTCTGGACAGAAAAGCTTCTGCTGGAGATGGTGATGGACAAGGTACATGGTTGCCTCTTGACCTCGGTTTCACTGAATGTAGATCTCAAAGGACAGCCTACATTTGATATCTTAAACACTGACTCTCACCTGCTCCCCTGAGTGCAGTCTCTGTTCCTTCTTTGGATATCCTCCCTACTAACCATGTATTGGCTCACTTACATATAAATTAAATTCCACAGAAATGTAATTTTTCTTTTTTCCTTTGTGGTCACACATTCCATTTAAGTGGCCATTTAACCAGAAAATTTATACTGCATCTTGTAAAATGTTGAAAGAGCAGTACATCTCACTCTCTTTCATGATTCTTCTACATAGTTAGCCTTGAGTAGCTCATCTGCACTCCCTTTGAAGGCTTCTCTCCCTCATTTCTCATATTCTATGTTCATTCCCTACATGTTCCCTCAGCCATCTTCTAATAACACCTCCTCTGGCTTAAAAAACTATCTACTTGTTGTTTCATGAAATTCCCCTAACTAAACATATACTT